GTAAAATGATCGTAATTATGTACCTGATGGTATCATTGTTGGCTCCATGTTAATATTGTACCACATAATATTTTGCAGGCACCTTATAGGTTGTTGTCATTCCAACTCCTTGATATGTTCGACCAATATGGAATACTGAAAGTCTTCCACAAGAAAGCACCTAGATCGAGGAAAAAATGGAGCACAATGCGATAGCTTTTAAGCATAAGGTGGCCGGCTTTAAGGTACGATAGCTTTATGTAGTTGGATGATTACTTGCCAAGGACGTCACACTTAAAGAACATTGCGCGGTCCTCACAAACAGCCCAGTCATTCAGGCTTTCATGTCCCCGTCACAAATGCGCGGTACTGCGAGAGATCCTCACAAACAGCCCAGTCATTCAGGCTCTCATGCCCACGTCACAAATACACGGTACTGCGATAGCGGCCGCTTCAAACACGGCTGGTTAAACCGAAGCGTTCCCATGGCACGCACGGAGCAAAAACATAGAAATGAACATACCGGCAGTGTCGCCGCTCATCACAATGACCGGAGAACCTTTCGAAGCGTATATAACTATACATCGCTGCTCAAAAAGCATGTCAACCTGCTCAAAATATAAGCGCACCAGCGGCAAAGTCGACGTTTTCATGTTTGGCATTGGGAGAATATTATGAAATTGCAGCGATTGTGACGTCCTGAGATCCGCTCGGCCTTTTGCTGTCAGTACAATTTCTACCTCAACGTTGTTATTTATTGCCCCGTGGTCCATCATCTCGTATCATGCTACTTTGTCGTCATCACGTGGTATGCACGCTTTTTCGTCCCGCCATCATAGAGCACAATATTTCGTCTCGCTCTTGGTGGAGATCACTGGAGACCTTGTGTGTTCTGGCCTTTCGTGTGCATTTTCCTTTCAGCCGATTGACACGTTTTGCGAACTCCTATTTCAGCTGGACACACTGGGCCTCCTGGGCAGATATAGCTAGCATGGACTTTAGACTTGCACCACCAGTCCACACTACCCTGAGGACGCGCAAACTACTGGATTGTGCGGTGGCATTCACTTTTTTGCACAGGTTGCCGTCTAGAAAAGTCTGCTTCTACTTTATGTGCCATGTATAAAAGCAGATACCCAATTTTCCGAACACCGCGTCTGCAACACATTTCCGCTATATGAATCATGCTTTTGCAGATGTCAGCAGCACTGATCGGCTCTAATCTTTACGTGAAAGCGTAAGGACGAGTCAGACCGGAATTTCACTGTCCAACTTCGTATTAACAACGAACTGCCACTTTCAGACCCCCTTATTGGCTTATGCCATAGCATATTTCACACAAATGTTTGCAGAAAAGCCATCAACCAGGGTAATGCATGAATGGTATTAGGGACTGTCCAGATCCATATAAAAGGGGTCATTGTGGCTCATATCCGCAGGGCTTCGAAAAAATTGTTCTTCGTGGAATGCTTATTTGGGAATTGAGACCGGCTGCGTCAGATGCTTATCAACAACGGTTGGATAAACATTGACTTTAACAATATCACGAAATCCTTATTCGATCACTTCTTCAAAACAAACAAAATAATACCTCCCGCAATCGTCATAAATCATCGACTTTTTTACAAAAGTATCCACTCCAACTTGGAAAAATGGTGTGAAAGTATTGCTTGACGTTGTCCACATGCACCTCGTAACTACTGATCAACGAAAAAAAACGACTTAACACGCACTAAAAAAGTCAAAAGACATCGTCATGGTGATCAAAAACACACACAAGCAGATCAAAGGTAAGTTGAAATAGAACAACATGGTTTACTGTTTCCAATGTGCTGCCGGGAACTGTGAAACCCGCAAGGTAATTCATAGTGGTCAGACTGCAACAAGTATCAGCCGACGGTTAGCCATGCACTTGTGTGAGGGGCACCGAAAACGCATGCGCGAACACACGACAACACCCCACTGACTAGAAATTGACATCTGACTAGGACTATGTCAGTCATGAACGCTACTATATTTGCGTGGACCCCAGACCATAGACGCCTCATCACACTTGGAACATTATACATCAGAAACAGGGCACCCACTAGCGGCCTATAACACAAACAACTCACACAACTACCACTCTACGACACGCGACTTGTAGGAGATTTCCCTCCCCCCCCCCCCCCCTCCCCGCAAGGCAAACCTACCGGATTAATAGCCTTTTAACGTGATGGGTGAAAGCATGCCTGGAATTGAAGCATGCAGCATGCAAATGTTGTTTTTTCAAATGTCTCGACGAGGTATCTTGTGGTAAAACGATAAAACCAAAGTTTTGTATGCATATATTGTGATTGTAACTGCATGTTTAAACCGTAACATTTGTCTTGAAAATGGTCAGAAAAGTCATCAAACTTTGGCAACATTTTATGTCGACACTCCATAAACGGCAAGAGCGCAATGCGTAGCCTTCAACAAACAACCAAGAAGGTGCCCAACGCTGAATATGCCGTGGTATGCAACAAATAACACACACACACACACACACACACACACACACACACACACACACACACACACACACACACACACACACACACACACACACACACACACACACACACACACACACACACACACACACACACACACACACACACACACACACACACACACACACACACACACACACACACACACACACACACACACACACACACACACACACACACACACACACACACACACACACATACATATATATATATATATATATATATATATATATATATATATACATTTAGCTCTGCAAGGCAGATAGTTCGATTGCACGTGGTTACGTGAGTGCGTTTGCTAAAATGCAGCTACCACGGGAGCTATGTGCATCGTTGAGGGCCATTTAATGCGTGGTAACGATACTTCAGACGCACTTTCCTGGGAAGGTTCATGAAAGATTTAACAAACGTAAATCTTGTTCCAATAATCAAATTTTTCTGCGCGTAGACGCAGTATGCCTGAGATAATATTCACGGAGCGAACGCTTGTGGCAGGGCAGAAGCTAAGGTCCTTTAGCAGACAGTGCATGAAAGCAACGCAGCCCTTTTAACAATGCATGGTCTGTTTTCAAGTTGCGCCAGAGATGTTTTGAATGGTTTGGCATGGTTTTTGTTGCTAGTCTCATGCACCGGAGCAAACTAGATCACAGAGGCCAAGCATTGCACTCGTCGGTAAATGTACGGCTCGCGATTTTTCACCTGCCTTTGTTCCGGGCTATCTTTGTAGGCGTACCTACATGACCTAACCTGCACATAACCTCCACGTGACCTAGCCTGCTGATGTGGGTATATTTTACGTCAAAACTTAATCTGGTGCCCATTCGAAACGCATGGATGCACGTTTAATCACCAGTCTTTTATTGTCAGCCCGCTCGAGATGCTCGGAATGACCCGATGAAGCATATAGGATATACGCTTCATAAATTAGCAGACCTCCGGGATTCAGACCACTGGACTGGTGATGCACACACGGCACCTTCACACTACTACATCCAGCCGCACATCAGTCATGTGAGGCACCAGGTATCTGGGAAAACGGCGGATTTCTGTATAAACATTTGTCAAATACCCGGGTGAAAACTGATGCAACACTTACACCAAGCACTACGGCATTGGTGGGCGACGCATTTTCTGCAAGCATCTGCTTTCACTGTCAGGTGAGAATATATATATATATATATATATATATATATATATATATATATGTGTGTGTGTGTGTGTGTGTGTGTGTGTGTGTGTGTGTGTTTGTGTGTGTGTGTGTGTGTGTGTGTGTGTGTAGGTATATATAGCCTGAAACTTGTGCCAGTAATAGCGTAGCTATCATGTGGACGCTGTGCCCCTGCCCTCTGCGCGGTTAACGCCGTGCACCTGCACATGGATCACGTTTGCACGTACGGCGGGGTCGCAGCTTGCGTATGCAGGCACGCACCTCGAGCTCACGACCACACTTTTGACAGCTCTGTGCACCGTGTGTTTCAACCGCGGTATGGCATGGTCGGCAAGGAATTAGCTGAACACATAGGCACGCAAGTTACGCCGCTCAAAACGTGCGCCTCTGTGTTCACGTTTAACAGTGATGGCCGGGGGCGCAGTAAGGGGGGGGAGCTGCCCATAGGGCCACATTGTCCATTTTCTTTCCCCAGAGATGGCTCCCGACAAAAAGCTAAAAATCGGCGCGATGCGTTTTCACCGAGCTTCGCCCCCCCCCCCCCTTGAGAAAACCCTGGCTGCGCCTCTGGAAATAGCAATCGCATTAACAAAACTTGATCTCTCCCGTGCTGACCGGTTAGAATTCACCTCGTTGCTGTTCAAAATAAAAGCCGTCTACGGCCCGGTGATAAATATCAATGCCGGGACCCACAGTCTGGTGAACCAGAGGTTATGCCAAAAGGCAGCACACAGTCCGGTTCAGGATACTAGTGCATGGCAATTATGAAAATGCTGTGGAACACGCTTCTTCTTTGTGTCGCCTATCTTCTTAATTTGGTCATAAAATGGTTTAATAAGAGAAAAGATTTAACACTGCAAAAGTGATAATGAGTTTAAATAGTTGTTTCCTTGCAAATGAAGCTATCTAGAGCAGCTGCAGGTTGAGTCTGTCGTCGTTCTTAATGACTTTTCATAGCAACTGTCATAATTATCACAGACATTTGTTTTTTGTAGAACTATGAATAGGTGCATGAATGGAAAATATGTGAGCTACACTGTTGTAAAACGTTCAGTTGCCTTCGATCGTTGCCAAACCGTACCTGCACTGTTTCAAGACGCTTAACATTGCGTGGTCAATAATCAATACTCTACTGCTACCGCCAGCTGCGTACATAAATTCTGAATCGAGAGAACGCCTAAATTGGCAGAAAACAAAACAGCGCGGCTGATTGGATCGCGCCCGCCACCAGCGGCACTTTCGGCCAGGCCGGCCGCCGTCCGGTGGCGGGATGGGCGCGAGGCGCGAGGTCAAGCCTCGCGGGTCAGGTCACTCACCCTGCAGGTTCATGCCGTGATGGAAGGGTGGCCGGTGATGCTCCTGCGGCCTCGCCATGACCCCGCACGGCGACGGCGCCGCCATGGCCGGCGTGTAGGGCCGCATGCTGGCCGCCGCCGCCGCCGCCGAGTACCGGTACGCTTGACTCATCTGGTTGCAGGAGGCCAGCTCGCTGTACGAGTAGGTCATGTTGGGCAGGCCGGACGGGTCCATAGATGACAGCGAGCTGTTTGGGTCAAAGCCGCCCTGGTTCAGGTACGCGTAGTCCATGGCGGCGACCTGACCGGCTGCTTCGGGCCGCTCCCAGGCTGGGTCACGCACAAATTCAATGCCGCGGCCTGCTTGCAGTAATCTTGTTTGGTTGCGAACACCGCGGAAGGCACCGGTAAGATAGTTCTAATTCAATCACAAGCTATATCAAATTATGAGCATATAACACCAGTGCGGCCGCTCGGCCAGGCAAAAATCAAATGATGATTGTAATTCAATAAGGCCTGGCTCGAACGACAGTGCGCCACGGACGACACAATCCACGGGGGGCGGAGCCAGCCGGACGCCCGGCCAATCAGCGGCCGGGCGCCGACATTCTGTCTCATAATTGGCTCCTGTCCCATACACCGGCGTCGTTCGGCCAAGGACGTAATTAGCCGGATTGGCAGAGTGGGGACCGGAATTCACGGCGTCGCTTTGTTGGCTAATTTCGGCCATTATTCGGGCGGCCGAGCGGCGCTTGGACGACGCTGAGTGGCGGCCAAGGGCCGGCGCCGCGACGGCGGACAGCCGCACCGACTCCAGGGGCGCCACGTGCAGTCAGGCGGCGGACACAACCCCAGGGTTGAGACGGGAACGCTTGGATATGCCAGCAGCAAAGTGCCGTTCTGAACGGCGAACAGACCCCGGCTTCGAAGAGATACAGAACGTTTGTAAGGCTTAATTCAACGGTCCTGACCGCAGCTACGATACCACAATGGCTGGCGAGCTGAAGGGGCTCCCGGTTCCCAGAAGGCGGAAACGAGACGACTGGGCGGTTGCGGCAGCATTAGTCATCTCGTCATGCCAGACAGGATGGTCCCAAGCCTCTCCTCTAGGGCATTCGCAAGACCGTTGGTCAGAACAAATGTCACTCCAAGTGTCTTTTTGGGGGGGGGCTCAAATCGGAGCTGGTACTTAGCTTATGTGACCGCCGCATGGCGTGTCAAGAGTATTGCGGGCTTTGAAACCTTTAGGACAGTCAAGAGATTGTCTGATTGTTTCTCAAACGATCAACGGCCACGTACATTTGCAGCGTGACGTTTCTGACATCATCAAATCGTTATGTACAACATTCTTCAACGTCGTGTTGATACCCGATTTTGTTCTGAGATTGTGCAGGAATTTGACGAAGATACTGCATGTGCTAATAATAGTGTGCTGCTGCGACCAAATGTCTACCCGAAGTCCGGACAGTTTTCCGCAATAATACCATCGTGTATGGGCTGACCTCGGGTCAAATTACGCAGCAGGAAGCCACATGGATTGGTTTGGATAGCGTTTGGTGCTTGGGCCGGCTCTGAATATCAAAAACACCAAATACGTCGCAGAACTTTGTCTAGCTGCAAAATGTTCTTCAGATTTGACAACGCACTGATTTTGAGCAGGGCAGGAAGACTGGAAACCACCCTAAAGGCTGGTTCCAAACCATTCTAGTCTACGGCATATCTTGTAGCAGAGTAGTGCATGCGATGCATATAGCTGACTGCTTACCAATGGCAGGGTGCTAGTGGGACAACTATGAGAGACCATCGAGGCTATCCGGAAAGATGGCCCGTTTGCACTGCACTTGTGCGAAGTGCAACTGGAACTGAACTGCCGGACGTAGAGTTGGTGAGTCCCGACATAGCCTTGCTTCGCCCTCCCATCCCTCCCCCCCCCCCCCTCTCAGTGGAGGTTTCGTCTCGTCCAATACGACTAAAACTGTCGAACGGGTATTGGCAGGGACGGGTGATTTGACCCATCATTTAGGGGCGATTTGTCCGTCCCCTTTGATCATCGAAAGGGCAAGAGGGCAAAAGGATCTTTGCCACTTAGGACACGTCGACGTCCCGTTTCCCTCACAGCCTTTCTCGGTTCGTCGTTCTGGTCGCGAGCGTCCCAGCTTTTGGTAGATACAATTCAGGCTATGCACAGGCGACTGCGTGTTATGAGCAAACAAACATCATCCCTATTCCAGTGTTATTCCAGTCGACTGACGTCGGGATCTCACAATTACTCTGTTATCATACATCAGTATATATGTCTAGTTAGATATCAAGATGAATATGTTATCTCATATCAGTATCTAGATCTGGCTATATCTCACTATGCCTTCACTATGCCACATCACTATCTAGATATAGTTAGATGTCACAATGACTGTTACTTCCCATCAGTATCTAGATCTAGTTAAATATGACAATCACTCTTTTATCTCGCGCAAGTATCGAAATATGGTTAGATCTTACAAATGACTCTGCTACCTCACATCAGTATCTAGTAGTCTAGTTATCTAGTTAGATATCACAGTGACTCTGATATCCCACATCAGTATCTGAATCTAGTAAGTCTCACAATAACCCTGCTGTCTCACATCAGTAATTAGATCTGGTTAGATCTAACGAATATTATGTTATTTCACTCCAGAATTTATATCTAGTCATGTATTGTAACGGTTCTGTTATCTCACATCAGTATCTAGAAGTAGTAAGATCTCACAATGATTCTGTCATCTCGCATCAGTATCTATATCTAGTGCGATCTCACAATTACTCTATTATTCACGGGTATTTGGGCCCCTAATTCTGGTGTCGTTTCACGGGGGCTTTCAACCAAATTATCACAATGACTTGGTATATTGATGATTTAACACGCGCCCAGGCGGCCGACTGGATACACCTCGCTCAAGTGAGGATCAATGTTCACCCCCTCCCCCACTAAGATCTCGGGAACTAAGAAAGTTAGAGTCACCAAATTCACAGAGTGTGTTAACCTGTATGTGAAATTACTTAGGTCAAAGCTTGAGGTTCCTAGGTCATGACCTTCCAGTCAAATAGGGTTAAACAATGTCATATTGCAGGTTGGTCTCCAGTGCCCACAGAACCTAGATAACTGTTTCTAAGCAAAAGGTCGCATGCTCATTTAAGGTCATTGACCCTGTCTGACCCTTTGTTGGTCGTGGTGACCAAAATCATACAAGACTGCTCCGAGTTTTACATTTGAATAAGCGACAAAGATTACGCTTGGCAGCATGCTCCTAACAACGAAATGTTGACCTGGGTCGTTTTGGGTCAACGACCTATTCTTACCTCTAAGAAGTCCATAAAAGATGTAGAATGCGGTTCCTGCTGTCAATAAATTCGAAATGAACTCTAGAAACCATCCCATACAGCAAACCCTACGGTAAAAAAACAGGTTGGTTTTGACCTTGGTCTGACCTGCATACCTGACCTTAGGTCAGTATAATTTGTTCATTCAATTGTTGTGTTGCGTAAAAAAGCATCTCAGAGATGTATGGCTTCGTCTAACAATCCGGTGTTGCATCAGATTGAACGATTCCCTACAGAATGACTTCGCTGAAACCATTGCCTGACTTTGACCTGTCATAGGTCAGCGACCTCACAAGATATCTCTAAACATTTGACAAAAAACGATCCACTGTATAATTGTCTACAGCTACGACAAATTTGGCGCGGCTGCACCGCGCCGTTCGGGAACCATTTTGGAAAAACCCTCGGGGGGTCAGTTTGAGCCCCACCCGAACGCTTGTTAATGTTTGAGGTCGGTGCCATCAGCTAGCAAGGAAAAGATGTAAAGCAAGTTACAGCAGATTTAAGCAGCACTTACATTATCAGACGTGTATTCAGAACGTTTTCAGGCCGTTTTAAGCAACTGCGACAATCCGTTTTGCGTTCACGCGAGTACCACGCATAAAATGCAGCATCCCTCCCACTTGAAGACTTTCTAGCCCTCCGCTCCTTCCGTTGCATTTTGTGTGCAAAGGGTTGATTTCAACATTAGTGAATAGGGCAAAATGCCAGTATGGTGCGCTGTTCGTCTAACTCCTGTTCACAGTATTTCTACTATGCTAGTTCAAAAATTTGCTGACGAATCGCAACGGAAAGAACAAAGGGCTGGAAAACAGAAACACAGCAGGACATTCAAGAACAAATGTTGCACCTCAGGGGCGTAGAAACATTTCTGAAAAGGTATGAAAGCCAAGTTCAGTTTCTTAAGTCAGTGTTTTCTTTAAACGGCCACGATATGAATGCTAAAATGCATCGGTAACACGGTGGACCATATGCTTTCATTTCATTTTCGCTTTCAGTTTACCCCCCCCCCCCTCCATCTTTCTGCTCCTGCGCCCGAGTTGCAACTTGGACTCACGCAGCACACTGTAAGCACTTCAGATATCCCTTAGTACATCGATACGGAATACTCATCGACCGCCGATTTTAACTTTTTGTTAGATGACTTTTCTTCAATTCAACATTGCCCATGATGACTTACATTTCTTATGATGTATGTTGCCATTAGGTCGTTCCCATTTGCATTTTTGTGTTTGCTGATGCGTAGATGTACGAAGTGTTGGCACTTGATCATCACATTTGCATCTTAGCTTCTGCTGAAGTATATTTCTACTCACATTTGCCTTTTCACCTTTTGCCAAAAATGTTTTTTATTTCTGTTGGCTTTTATCCTTGTTTTGGCTCTTAGACTCCGGCATTTTCCTTGTGGCTGCATCTATTTCACTATTGTCCATGTTGCTCTTATGTTACATGTTACTTTTTTCTTCATGTCTGGTAACCTCCCTGTGAAACCAAATATGCTGGCATTTGCTACCCTTCGAGACATTTTGATGCACACCTGTAGACATTTTGATATTTTCAATGACCATGTGTGTTTCATCGCTTCTTGTTAAATGCACGGGGAGGGGTGCTGCTGATCTGTCTCCTAATCTAATCGACCTCTGATCTGATCTGTATCCTATTCTCATTTCCCTTTGATCTTATCCGTCTCCTAATCTGATCTGCTCTCGGCCTGATTTGTCTTCAAATCTTATCTGTCCCTGATCTGATCTGATCCTGATATGATGTGCCCCGGGCTGACATTTTCCTGACCTGATCTGTCCTTTAAAACTGATCTGCAACTGATCTGATCTACCCCTGACCTGATCTGTCTCCTAATCTGATCTTCCCCTGGTCTGACCTTTCCCCTGATCTGATGTCACGCCGTCTCTGTATTATCCGTTGCTCGGACATTAGTCGATGCCGTTTAGAGGCCTGGTTCGCTGCAAGGACGCTGTACGGCGCAGGTAACCACTCAAGGTAAGTACACCGCTCTTGGTGTGAATCTGGTAATCGTTCTTCGCGCACAGGTATACATAGATCGTCAAGGACGTGAGGCACGGAAAACACTTTCAAGTAACAGTTTGTTAG